GAGATTTTTCAGTTATTTCTTTGCTTTTTCAATCCGCAAAATGTCTATGTAAAATGACACAGAACTGTTAAAACAAAAATACATAACAAAACCATTTTTCTTTCTTTTTACATTTCACAAGTTTGTTCATACAAATTTTTTTTTCATTTTTTAAATTCAATTTCCCCTTATTAAATTATAAAACGGGGCTGTTAACCCAAACATATTACATAATAAAAACTTAACAGCTTTCTTTTTAAAAAATTCTTCATATTCAGTTTCCTCATAAAAATGCATAAACTATAAAAATCAAAACGACTCTTGTGGGACCTCTTATCACAAATAACAATTACTTTTTTTTCAATTTCGTCATGAAGAAAAAAAAACACAGACTACCTTCTGATATACCGTAATCCTGTTAAGACATATAACAATTAAATAACAAACCCTGATTTTTTTCTCTCTCTATTCGTGATACTTAATTTCCTCTATAAAAAATCACAAAGACGACCTCAATAATACCGTAACCCTTTTAAGACTTCACAACACATACAATAACCATACATCAAATCCATTTTTCTCCTTCTCTGTCTCTCTTCACAATACTCAAAATCATCACGTAAAACTAATACACTGTCTACCTACGACCTCAGTAATACCGTACCCCTTGTGAGATCCGGTGACGTGTTGACGACCAGAGGCGCTGTCAGGTTTTTAGCGTTGTCGTCATAGTCATTGTAAGAAGGAGGAGGTGAGGTGGTCGTAGTGGTAGGGGGGGTCGTAGTAGTGGTGGTCACGACTTCTGCAGAGGAGAGGAAGATACAATAAGCATTAGGGAACTTGGTTTGAAGTACGAGGGAAACTTTCTTCGTAGTTTATGAGAAACATGTGTTGATGGATATTTTTGTTCACATGGGTTTTTTATTCATTGTTTTGTCTTCTGTAGCTCTAATCAAAGTAAAGTTTTTACTTAAAGAGCATGATATTGCAGCTCTTTTAACGATATGTTTACATTACGGTTGTTGATCTCAACAACCAAAAAAAAAAAAAAAAAAAAACGCGTTATAATCATCTACAAATCGTTTAGTTGTTGCAAAACACTCAACTATGCAACTTTTATCTATAAACATATAGAATAATACGTTGTTCTATTCACAACATAACTTTATAAGCACACTATACAATGGTATATATATTTCTCTATACAACAATGCATGATTTCCAAATGATACTACAATATCCCTGCACAAAGTGTTGCCCCGCAAAACGAAAGGCAAAATCTATTCCATTGGCTACAAAATTATCTGATACCTCCACTAATTTCAGCTAATTGTATCCTCATAATTCTACTCCTGAAATCGGCTAAATGAAATTCAAACTTTCTATTTTCTAAATGTATTTTATGTACATAATTGAATATTTTTTTTTTTTTTCTATTATTTTTTAATGAGATTTAATTTTGTATCTGAAGCTGGATACATAATCATAACATCAAATTATGTCAAAATCATGCAGGCTTTATGGGTAAAGTTATCGTGAATGTTAATATTAATGACTGACATTTTTCATACCAATAACATGAATATGATGCTACTGAATCGTAATTAGGCACTTGAAATACTACTAACGTTAATGATACTGGAATAACGATACCAGTAATTATGGTTTTAAATCAGTTTTATATAGAGATTATGAATGATTCTTCTATATAACTTATAAGTGGTTCTTATATATGTAAATAATAAATGCTTTTATTCATTACAAACAATACCAACAATTGTAAATTTAGATTATTCTTACATGAAAAACTAAAAATATAAATATAAATAAACATATAAACGATATCAACAATTGCGAATTTATATAAAAAAGATAAATGATCCTTATATATAACTTATAAATGGGTCTTATATATAAAACTTAAGAGATTCTTATCCCATTATCAGTGTTGCCATAATGGGAATAACACTGATCAACATAATATAAATAGGCGATTTAAAGACTGATCATAAAGAAAATGGAAATAATAACAAAAGAAACAGTAACTGGAAATAACGATAATATAACAATTATAACAATTCTAATATAGAAAATAACGTTAAAACTAATCCTGTCCATTCTAATATAAGAAATGACAATAACAATTTTGATAATTTTGATAACGTTGATAATAATTATGATATAGAAATGAACATTAATAATATTTCTGATAATTCTAACGTAGGAAATAACGTTGATAATAATTCTAATAAAGGAAATAATATTTATATTCAATTCCATTCATTATAATACAAAAAATAACATCAAATAACAGTTCTCGTAACTCTGATATAGTAAATAACATTAAGAACAGTTCTAGTAACTCTAATATAGTAGATAACATTAAGAACAATCCTACTTATTCTAATTCTAAAAACACACACACACTGTCCACGCATGCAACACCACTAGCATCAGCTTTAACAGGAGAAGCACTGACCTCGTAGTATAGCGGTTCCCCGAGCCTCTCCCTGCGAGTTCTTGATGATGCAGGTGTAGGCGCCGAAGTCAGAGAGAACCAGGTTCCTCATGCTGAGCGTCATGTTGTGGCTGGCGTAGAGAGAGAGAGAGAAAGGGTGATATATAGGGGTGTATGTGGGATGGGGAGGGGTGGGAGGTGTTTGTGGGGTGTGGAGGGGGCTGTGGGTGTGAGGGTTGTGGGTAGAAATGTAGGAATAGGGTGTGGTTGTATGTCTCTGTGTGTGTGAGGGTATATATGTGCATGTGAGAGATTCTGTGTATGTGTTAATTCGCGCGTTCCCGTTTGTTGGAGTGCATGTGCGTGCGTATCTATGTGCGTACAGACACGCACCCACACACACACACAGAAAAAACAAGTGTACCAGACATAAAAAGACACTCAAACCTCGCAGCTTTACAAGACCCCTGTTTTAAATATTACGCTCGAACCGCCTGGAGTTCCGAGAAGACAATGATTTCGTTCTGCGTCTCAGACACATCTTCAGTCTCTTTACAAGATGACTTAATTACACAAACTCTATAGACACTTCTGCGCTAAGAGAGTACAACCTTGAGTCAGATTTAAGACTCGTGATGAGAGAACGTAACCGGTGAATTGAATTTATTTTATTTTTATATATATATTTTTTTATTTCATTTTTTTTTTTCATTTTTTTTCCATTACTTTACATTTACCTTTTCCGTTGTAATAGGGATTGAATTTACCGAGAGTATGACAGGTTGTTACAACTGGAAAGCGTTTTAATTTACTAGACATGTATATCTTCTGAGAGAGGATAGGACAGACGGACGAAAGGGTAAGAAAATGATTAATTAACCGAGAAGCTTAAGTTATCAACAGAACTAAAAAAGAAAGAAAAAAAAAAACAAGAAGAAAGAAAAGAAAAAGAAAACGCGTTGCAACGATTCACAAGAGAAACTGAAAAAAAATATTAAAGAAAATGGCGTTACTTGATTTCGAGACAAAGTAAACGATTAGATGAGTAATTAAGAAAGAAAGTAAGCACGTGGGTAGATATATGAATAAATAAGTAAAGTATATAAGAATATAAGTAAGTAAAGTAAGTAAATAAGTAAAGTAAGTAAGTAAGTAAAATAAGTAAGTAAGTAAAGTAAGTACGCAAAGTAAGTAAGTAAATAAAGTAAGTTAAGTACGTAAAGTTAGTAGGTAAGTAAAGTAAGTAAGAAAGTAAGTAAAGTAAATAAATGAGAAAAGTAGGTCAGTAAGTGAATAAATGAAACATAAAAGAAACTCACGCAAAAGGCCATGTAAGTAAGTAAGTAAATACGTAAGTAAACAAACAAACAAATAAATAAAACAAAACCAGCATAAAAAGATCTAAAAAGAACGAAAAAAAGAAAGAAAAAAACATTGAAACTCACGTAAAGGGCGGTAAGTAAATAAGCAAATAAGTAAACAAATAAATGAAAAATCAAACCAAATCAGTCAAAAGAACCTATAAAAGAAACGAAAAATAAAAGAAAGAAAAGAAAAGAAACAAGAAACAAGAAAAGAAAAGAATACAACTCACGTAAAAGGCGGGTGGCCATCTTGCGGCGTGACGGTGAAATACTCATCACTGAGAAGCTGCGACCCGAGGAAATTATCTCGCATCCACATCACCTGAGGAGCCGGATAAGCCGCGTACAGACAGGTCAGGCTGATGGAACTGCCCTGAGACGCCCACAGGGAAGATGGAGGATTCTGAATCAAAGGTTTATACTTGACGTGGACGATGACCCGGCGACTGATCGAAGGAGGATGGCCGTTGCTGGCGATGCAGAGGTAGCCGCCGGCGCTTCGGTGGTTGACGGTGCGAAGCAGGAGGGAGTTGCCGATGTAGTCTGAGGCTGGGGGAGGGGAGGGAAGGGTAGGGGAAGGAGGGAAGGAAGGAAGGTAGGGGGTGGGACGGTGGGTAGGAGGTGGGGGAAGGAAGGAAGGCAGGGGGTAGGGTAGGAGGGGAAGGGGGTAAGGATAGGGGAAGGGGAAGGGGGAGGGTAAATGGGTAGGGGAAAGGGAAGGGTAAGTGGGTAGGAGAAGTGGAAGGGGCGATGGGTAAGTGGGTAGGGGAAGGAAAGGGGGAGGGGAAGTGGGTAGGGGAAGGGAAAGGGGGAGGGGAAGTGGGTAGGGAAAGGGGGCGGGGCGATGGGTAGGGGAAGAGAAAAGGGCCAGTAAGTAAGGGAGGGAGGCAGGGCAATGGATAGGCGAAGGGACAGTGGGTAGGGAAAGGGAGCGAGGCAGTAGGCAGGGGAAGGGGTGGGGTACGGGGAGGGGAAGGGGCCGGGGAACAGGGGGGGGGGTTAAGAGGGGGAGGGGTGGTGGGAGGGGGTGGTTGGGAGAAGCAAGGGCGTGGACAGGAAAGGGAGCAGGAGGCGGGAGAGTGAAAGGCGTTGTTAGGGAAGGTTGGGTAGTTATGGAAAGAGAAGAAAAAAATATGGTTATGAATGGCTGTGGGAAAATGTTACTCGAAAGAAAGAAAAAGGGAAGGAAAAGCAAAACA